AAGTGTGATAAGGTGGCCACTAATGTCCAGTAGTTGTTACGGCTCTCTAACCAAATCAGTGTGATAAGGTGGCCACTAATGTCCAGTAGTTGTTACGGCTCTCTAACCAAATCAGTGTGATAAGGTGGCCACTAATGTCCAGTAGTTGTTACGGCGCTCTAACCAAATCAGTGTGCTAAGGTGGCCACTAATGTCCAGTGGTTGTTACGGCTCTCTAACCAAATCAGTGTGATAAGGTGTCCAATAATGTCCAATACTTGTTAAGGCTCTCTAACCAAATCAGTGTGATAAGGTGGCCACTAATGTCCAGTAGTTGTTACGGCTCTCTAACCAAATCAGTGTGATAAGGTGTCCACTAATGTCCAATACTTGTTTATCTATGATATACAATACAAAATAACTAGAGTACAGTGTACTGTCTATGATATACAACCCAAAATAACTAGAGTACAGTGTACTGTCTATGATATACAACCCAAAATAACTAGAGTACAGTGTACTGTCTATGATATACAACCCAAAATAACAAGAGTAAGGTGTACTATCTATGATATACAACCCAAAATAACTAGAGTAAGGTGTACTATCTATGATATACAACCCAAAATAAGTAGAGTACAGTGTACTGTCTATGATATACAACCCAAAATAACAAGAGTAAGGTGTACTATAAATCTCAATTAACTGTTTGTGATACACAGAGAACGGTAACAACTATTGGACATTATGGCATACTTTATCAACAGCTACTGGACAGTAGTGACCACGTAATGAAACTAATTTGGTTAATGAGCTGTAGCAACTATTGGACATTAGTGGACACCTTATCACACTGATTTGGTTAGAGAGCCGTAACAACTACTGGACATTAGTGGCCACCTTATCACACTGATTTGTTTAGAGAGCCATAACAAGTATTGGACATTAGTGGCCACCTTATCACACTGATTTGGTTAAAGAGCCGTAACAAGTATTGGACATTAGTGGACACCTTATCACACTGATTTGGTTAGAGAGCCAAAGTACACTGTACTCTAGTTATTTTGTACATAAAACTGAACTGTGGTTCGTTGTTTGCTTTATCATACTTTGATTCATCGTTCCTGAATCAGCCTTTCTCTACAATAGCAGAAACTTAAGGCTGGAACAGATGCTACGCACTGTAATTAGCACACATATGTATCTAAATAAAATAAGATTATGATTGTAATAAAAAGTACGAAGTTAAACAGAAGCCATTACACCTTTATCGATCGATAAAGTTAAAAATATATCTATATGATAATGCGCAGAAATTTTACAGAACGTTATCTCGGTAACCTTATTTAATTTTCGTGTTATGAAATATTCTATATTTTTCTGATAACCCTGTCTTCGTTATATACTTGTTCAATAAATATGTCAAAACTAATGCTGTAAGTCTCTGTTAACTTTCTCAATGACACAACTCAAAACACTAAGAGTCCGGTTCAGTCTCTATGAAATACAACCCAAAATAATAATGTGAAATGTGTGACACTGTGGTGTGTAGTAGTTGGTGAAATGTGTGACACTGTAGTGTGTAGTAGTAGATGAGATTTGAGACACTAAGGTGTATAGTAGTACATGAAATGTGTGAAACTATGGTGTATAGTAGTGGGTGAAATGTGTGACACTATGGGGTGTAGTAGATGAAATGTGTGACATTGAGGTGTATAGTAGTAGATGAAATGTGTGACACTAAGGTGTATAGTAGTAGGTGAAATGTGTGACACTAAGGTATGTAGTAGTAGATGAAATGTGTGACACTAAGGTGTATAGTAGTAGATGAAATGTGTGACACTAAGGTGTATAGTAGTAGATGAAATGTGACACTAAGGTGTATAGTAGTAAATGAAATGTGTGACACTAAGGTATGTAGTAGTAGATGTGTGACACTAAAGTGTATAGTAGTAGATGAAATGTGTGACACTAAGGTGTATAGTAGTAAATGAAATGTGTGACACTAAGGTATGTAGTAGTAGATGTGTGACACTAAGGTGTTTAGTAGTAGATGTGTGACACTAAAGTGTATAGTAGTAGATGAAATGTGTGACACTGAGGTGTATAGTAGTAGATGAAATGTGTGACACTGAGGTGTATAGTAGTAGATGAAATGTGTGACACTGAGGTGTATAGTAGTAGATGAGATGTGTGACACTATGGTGTGTAGTAGATGATATGTGAAACACTAAGGTGTGTAGTAGTAGATGAAATGTGAGACACTAAGGTGTGTAGTAGTAGGTGAAATGTGAAACACTAAGGTGTGTAGTAGTAGATGAAATGTGAGACACTAA